CAACAGCGAGACTCACATCTACATCCACATCTACACCAACATCTGCACCTACATCTACATCTACATATACATCTACATCTACATCTACGGCTACATCTACACTGCCTACACCGGCATCCACATCTACACCTACACCTACATCTACATCTACATCTACACTTTCGCAGTGGTTTTGCTGTTGCTGCTGGTGCGTTGCCTTTGATGTGATGCTATGCGATGCTATGCTGCGCTATGATATGCTATGCTATGCTGTGCTATGCTGCGCTATGCTGCGCAATGCTATGCTATGATATGCTAGGGTATGCTTGGCTGCGCTATGCTATGTTATGCTATGATGTGCTATGCTATGCTGCGCTATGCTGTGCTATGCTATGATATGCTACGCTGCGCTATGCTATGATATGGTATGATATGCTGCGCTATGCTATGCTGCGCTCTGCTATGTTGTGCTATGATATGCTATGAGTTGCTATGCTATGCTATGTTGCGCTATGCTATGCTATGATATGCTATGCTATGCTGCGCTATGCTATGCTATGATATGATATGTTGCGCGATGCTATGCTATGCTATGCTATGCTATGCTGCGCTGTGTTATGCTAAACCAACCTATGCTAGGCTATGCTATGATATGATATGCTGCGCTATGATATAATATGCTATGCTATGTCATGCTGCGCTATGCTGTGCTGCGCTATGCTATGCTATGCCATGATATGCTATGCTATGTGATGCTATGCTATGCTATGCTAATGATACGCTGCGCTAAGCTAAGCTGAGCTAAGCTAAGCTAAGCTAGGTTAGGCTAAGCTAAGCTACGCTAAGCTAGGCTGGGCTAGGCTACGCTAAGCTAAGTTAAGCTAGGCTAAGCTAAGATGAGATAAGCAAAGCTAAGCTAAGGGGGCGCAACTGGGGGAACCGCGGGGCGGATACTGGGGGAACCGCCCGGGGCGAGGAACACTGCCGGGCCCCTTTAAGCCCAGCGAGTAAGAACCCTCTAGGCAGAGCCTAGGCAAGGACAAATTTCAGACAATCATGCATCGATCTACTTGCTCAATCCTGCAACGCGTGCATCCTGAAGCCGGACGGTCCCTCCATCCGAAAGGGATGGTCCGACCGCTTCTAAGCGGCCTTCCTGGCACTATCCTCCACTGTCCCTCTGGGCACGGAGTGGGCGTGTCCTCGAGGCCTTTGCCTAATCCCTGGAGGCTCAGTCCTCAGTCTTGAAAAGAATGAAACGGGGCCCGGACTCCAAATTCTCAAATCCACTGGGGCTTCGCGCGTGCCCCTTGGAACCCGTAATTAGCGGCTTGCCGAGTGACTCTTTGTTCGGCCCACGACAACTCCAAGATGGGCCAAGAGGGCTCCAGGAGGCCTCAAGACGACCCAAGAGGGCCCCGATACGCCCAGAGATCGGCCCAAGACGCCCACGATGGCCCCAAGACGGCCCAAGAGACATGCAAGACGGCCCCAGAGGCCTCGAAGAGGCCTAGGGCTCCAAGAGGCAAAGCTCGTTCTTTTGTGTCCAAAGGTGTTTGAAAGATTTTGGCGTTCTCGCCTTTTCGGCTTTCTGACGCTCCAAGACGGCGCAGGAGGCCACCCAAACCACCACAAAACGTCTCAAGAGGCTTCCAAGAGGGCCCCAAGACGGCCTAAGAGCGACCCAAGACTGCCCAAGAGGCGCCCAAGACGGCCCAAAAGGGCCCCAAAACGGCCCAAAAGGGGCCCAAGAGAGGGAACACGAATCGAAAAAACAAACCGTCCGCCCCAAGAAGCCCCCAGGAGGCCCCAAGAGGCGCCAAGGAGGCTCCAAGAAGCTTCCAAGAGGCCCCCGAGAGGCCCCAAGAGGCCCCCAAGAGGCCCCCAAGAGGCCCCCAAGAGGCCCCCAAGAGGCGACAAAGAGGCCCCAAAACAACTATCAAGAGGCCTCCAAACTGTCTCCAAGAGTCCCGACGAACATCTAATAGGCTTCATATCCACAACCCAGGCACGGAGGCGGGATGGCCGAAGGTCAGTCGATAAATCTCGGGGCTTACGAGCCGCAGCCTCTGACCAGGACAGAATGGAATGAAGTGAGAATGTCCATGTAGTACTCCTTCTGGTGTTTCAAACATGGTGTTCCCGACGCAGCGCGGGCCTCATGTTAGGATCGGTGCTTTGCTCCCGTCGTTCAGAAGGGCGCTCTCGCCCCAGCGCGGACCACTTTTCTGGGTCCGAATCCTTCCTCATCGCTGTCTCCCCGCTTATTTCCCCTGCTCCGCCTTCCCCTGCTCCTCCTGCTTTTTCGGCTCCTCCCACTCCTGCAGCTGCTGCTGCTGCTGCCGTGCTTACTCTTCCTCCTCCTTCCTCCTCCTCCTCCTCCTGCTCCTCCTCCCCTTCCTCCTGCTTATCCACCTGCTCATCCGCCACCGTCTCCTCCAACGTACTCAGTTTTCCTTCTCTGCTTACATCTGCTTACGCATGCAACGATGACGAACCTTTGAAGGTTCCAGGTCCGCTATGACGCCCGTCAGCGAATAGAGACAGCATCCGCGCAATGGGAAAGGATGGTTGGGACTGGTGGGGGGTCAGATATGACACGAGCGCGCCTAGCTTGAGATCAAAACTACTCTTCTTTCTCCCCTGATGCTGTCTGCCTGGTTCCCCGCCTATCCCGCACACTGCTTTTCCTAACCCTGCTGTGTGCTGGGTCATTGGTTTAAATCTGCAGCGCCGCACATCTCCTCTCCTCGCCTGATCCCCCTCCTCTCCCCTCCCTCTCCCTTCCCTGCCTCTTCTCTCCGCGGCGCGTGCGCATTCCCGCACACCTCTCGCACGTTCCATGGCCCCATACAGAGCTCCAACCAAGGCCTAAATGCAGCGGCCTCTCACACGCTTCGTGGCCCCATAGGGGGCCGCAACGACAGCCCAACTGCCAAGCCCAACTGCCAGGGTTTGCGACCCCATGTCCGCACGCCACTCACACGCTTCGTGGCCCCATAGAGAGCTCCAACTAAGGCCCATCAAGGTCCACATGGCGTCGCCGCTTCATTTCGGCACAGCCCTCACACGTTCCGCGGCCCAGCAGGCAGCCCCAAGTAAATCACAAATGCCAACGTCCGCATGGCGGCGCTGGCTCATTCCGGCCTGCCCATTACACGCTTCGCGTCCCTAAAGGGAGCCCAACCGACAGCCCCAGCGGCAGGGTCCGCATGGCGGCGCCAGCCACACCTATTTCCGCACACCCCTTAGTCGTTTCGCGGCCCCATAAGATGCTCCACCGAACGCCCATCGGCAGGGTCCCCATGGCAGCGCCGCAACCATTTCGGCACACCACGCACGCGCTTCGTGGCCCCAAAAGGAGCCGAACCGAACGCCCCAGGGTCAGGGTCCGCACGGCGGCGCCGCATCCATTCCGGCACACCACGCACACGTTTCGTGGATGCAGAAAGAGCCTCACCGAACGCCCCAGGGGCAAGGTCCGCATAGCGGCGCCGCGCTCATATCGGCCCACTTTTGGCAACGCCCGCAAGCGGACAGGCGGCGGTCGAGCGACCGCGGGGCGCGCTGGGGCAACGAGGCACGAGTGCAGAGGAACGCGAGGCGCGAGGCGGCCGAGGGGGCCAGAGGCGAGGGGGCCACACTCAGACAATGCAGGACATCGTGCGCGTGCCCAAGAGGGCGGACGGCAAATGTAAGTGCAAGTGCTTGAGCGCCCATGAGGGCGAAGCCGCGCATGTAGCTCGAGGGTTCGCCGACCCAACGGGCCAAAGGCGACCTAAGATCTCAGGTGACAGGTGCAGAAGATTTCCAATTCGCGGGCGCGTGCCGCCCCTGGGGGTCGCCGGGCGACAAATACCCCAGCCGATCTCCGCAAGGTCCCGTCAGGTGGTTCTGCTCTGTGCGCCGCCCTCGGGGCTCCCCAGAGAGCCCCAAGAAGGGCCAAGAGGCCCCAAAGAGGCCGCCAAGAAGGTCCGAGAGCGCTTCGAGGCGTCACGAGAGCGCTCCAAGACGCAATGCCCCCCAGACAGCCCAAGAGATCTTCAAGATGCCCCAAAAGGCCTCCCAGAGCACCAGAGCGCCCCAAGAGGCAATCGTCGTAGATTTTCCATTGGTGTTTGACAGATTTCGGCGTTATCGCAATTTCGGCTTTCCGACGCTCCACGACAGCCCAAGAGTCCTCAAAGATCGCCCCCAGAGGCCTCCAAGAGGGCCTGAAGACGGCCCAAGAGGGTCCCACAACAGCCCCAGGGGCCTCCAAGACGGCCAAAATGGGCTCCAAGACGGCCCCAAGTGAGGGCCCAGCGGGGGACCCCGAACGGACGTTTTGAGCCCTCGGCCCCAAGAGGCGCCCAAGAGGGCCCCAACAGGCCCCGAAGAGCCCCCCACAATTTCCAAGAGGCCCCCAAGAGGCCTCAAGAGCCCAAGAGGCCCCCGAGATGCTCACAGGACGCTCCCAAGAGGACCCCAAAATGTTCCCCAGGGACCCACCAGAGCCCTCCGAAGAGACCACAAGAAGCCTTCACGAGGACTCTGCAGGCACGGGGGCGGGCAGCTAGGAAGAGGGAGAAAGGAGGCGAGAACTGTTTTTGGGCTCCCATGCGATCACGTTCGCAACCCGCCGACCTCCGCTCCAGGAAGGCATAACACCGTGTGAGATGTGTAGCTGCCCCGCTCCCCCTACCACGCTCCCCGAGAGCCTGCGATCAATTAGGCCACGAACCACTGATGACCCCCCAATCAACCCACCCAAGAACAACTACACAATAACTACTCCGCCTTCAGCCTCTGGAAATCCACAACCGCCTCCGCAGCGCCGCAGGGGCAACTAATACGTAGGCAAATGCCAGCGATGCAGCACTTGGGCCGTCGAAATGAGCGAAGCGATTAAATAAGCCCGGCAAGGTATAGGGCTAGCCAAAGACCACATGGAAAAGCCGAGGTGACGAGCATCCGTGGGCCCGAGACCAACGGCACGAAAACCGTTCAAGAACCAGGTAGGGGACGGAATGACCAGCGACCAGGGCTGTGGCCCAGGTAGAAGCCGACGACCTTGCCGAAAGGCATCACCTGGAGTCCAGCGCTGGGCATCGCCGTGCAGCGCGAGAGTTGCGGCCAGAGGACTGGCGGGCCGCCGTCGCCATTGCGGCACTGGCGGGGGGAGGGGAGAGGGAGAGGGGAGGGGACGGGATGCAGGGGCGGGCGGGAGAAGTCACGCGAGGGCACGGCGATCAGGACCAGGGGGGCAAAAAGCCTGTACAACTCGAAGTAAATACCAGGTCGCCAGGGGGGCACAATGCCCGACCTGCGGGGAGAGAAGCAAGCGTACGGGAGACCGCCTGCCCATGGAGTCGACGCGTCCAGAAAGCCATGGGCGCGTGGCGACGAGAGCTGGCCCTCGTGTGCCGCGGCGTGTATGGGCGGAGCGCCACAGCGGGAGAAGGGAGATGTAAAGAAGAGAGCGGCTAGCGTGCGTCGAAACGGCCTCCTGTGTTCCGGTCCCAGGCGGCCCGTTGGCCGTCATTGCCGCGAGGAGCAGCGGTGGCCCCTGTACTGGAGCCATACCCTTTGCCAGCAGCCTGGTCTCTTTGGCAGGCCCTGTCCTCTTTTTGTTTGTCAACCTCGAGCCAAGACCAACGGGTGTAATTTTCGGCCGCGGTCACGCGCCACAGAAGGCGAGCCGTTTCGCCATTGGTGCTGAGGCAGCGTGCGTGAAGTCGCCGCAGCGGACGGGGCGGCGATTTTGCCGTACTGTCCCGCGGGGAGAGCAGCTGAAAACTTGAAAATTAGTAGTTGGACGATTCCGCACTTCAGCGGTTCCGTCGGAAGCGTCGCACTGACGTCCGACGCAGCAGATCGCACAGCCTCTTTGCTGCACTGCGCGGCGGACGTCATAGCCTCAGCTTCAAGAGCTACCGTCCTTTATTTCAAGAGCCTCGGAGGCATATGTAGAGGCCAAGCCTCGCATTGCTCCGCCGAGCGGGCTCGCTTGTTATGCAGGTACTGCCCCCGCCCTGCCTGTCACTAGCCCGTGGCGCCTCGTGTGTTTGCCACCTGGCAGTGAAAAGCGGTTTCCGAACGAACGTCCGCGCGGGAGCGGCCCGAGGAGTGCGGGGGGGGTCGCTCGCACTCCTCTGCTCCGACTTGCTCGCCACACCGGCGCGGACTGCACGCCCGCTTAGATGACCGGTGCGGCGAGGCTGCACTGTAACCACCGAGGACTCTACGGCTCCCATCGCCGAACTCCCTGGGCGGGCAGCCCTTGCTGGGCGTCGGCGTCAGCGATGGCCAGCTTAGAAAAGTTAGCCTGGCGAGAGACTCGGCCATATGCAAGTAGCGTGGGTGCCCCAGGGCAGGTGGGACGAAGGAGGGCCACGCACTTGCCAGGCCCTGTACTCTGCTGCCCGCTGCGCGGCATCCCAGTCCACCGGTGTCCCTTGCCACTCTGCCCACAGCGTGACGTCGTGACGCGCGTCGGCGAGGTCTGCCAGGAATTTGTTGGCGTCATCGGGATTCCTGCGATAGGGGTCCGCTGGCGAGTCGGCAGGCCGTCGGTGGTCCTTGGCGCAGTCCAGGTGACGGCAATAAGCGTGCCACGCCCCTGACAGCGTGTAGCCAGCTTCCGACTGCAGACGCTTGATCCTGGCAGCGGAACTCTCCCCCTCCTTGGGTTCCCATCCAGTCGCCTGAAGGACATCTGGTACATATTGGACGGGCCACGGCGCTCCCACCTGTCACCGCGGTCGCCCTGGGAAGCGGAACCCGACCAGTCGCGGTGTGACCACCACTCTTGATGGCTCCCCAGCTGTTCCATCCCTGCCAGAACGACCAGGCGTCCGTGGGAGGGGCGTTGTTCTGTGCTGCGGGCGGGTCGTCGCTGCGGGCCTTCGTCGGTGCAGGGGGGGCGGTCGCCAAGCTGGGCCTGGGCTTGTCGCCGGAGTCGCGGACAGAGAGGATGTCGGGCGGAGCGTCAACAGCTGGGCGGTCGTCGGATGACGGGCTCCAGCAGGGGGGCTTGTCCGTGGCCGCCACTGGTTCTGCCATAGTGACCTCCCTCTGGGCGCCCACTGCACATGGCGTTGCAGCTGTACCCAGGTCGGAGACGGGTGTGCTTCTGCCGTCTGGGAGCCTGCATGCTGGTTCGTCTCGCCCTTCCTGCTTGCACGGGGGAACGTCGCCACCTGGGCGGTCGTCGTTCGTCGTGTCGCTGGCCGGGGTGCCAGGGCGGGTCGGTGCGTCGGGCGGCCGCGGAGGCGGTGCCTTTCTTGCCGTCGGGCTGGGGGGCGGGTCGTCTGATCGCGTGGCGCTTGTCAGCTGGCGCGGCGACGGCGGTGGAGGGGGCAGCAGCCTGGAAGCCCCACAGTTTTCGCGGCCCAAAAGAGAGCTCCATCGAACGCCGCGGCGCCGCTTCATTTCGGCACACCCCTCACACGTTTCGCGGCCCCATTGGGAGCTCCACCGACGGTTCAGCGGCAGGGTCCGCATCGCGTACCAGCACCCCATGCTGCACATCCCTGGCGCGCTCCGTGGCCCCGTGGGGAGCTCCACCGAAGGCCCCAGTGGCAGGGTCCGCGCAGCGGCGCCGCTGCAGTTCGGCACGCCGCCACACGCTTCGTGGCCCCTATAGGGAGCCCCACCGCACACCCTAACAACACGGCTCGCATGGCGCACCTGGCCTCCATTCCGCACAACACTCACGCGATTCGTGGCCCAACAAGGAGCTCCACCGAGGGCGCTGGCGCCAGGCTCTGCAGGACGCATGACGTTCCCGCCCCCGCCAACTCGGCATGCCCTTCACGCGATTTGTGGCCGCACAAAGAGCTTACCAAAGGCCCCAGCGGCGGTGTTCGCATGGCGCCGTCGAGCCAGGATACGTCTGAGCGCCCGTCCGTCGCTTTGCTCGCCGCCATCCTTCTGACTTACCTCGCGGCACGCGCAGCTTCATTTGGTTGCGCCCTTCGCCCGGATAATTTTACACAGGATTGTCCCGAGCTGTCTTTCGAGGTTACTTTCTTTCAAGCAGAACGATCTTGGCCTTTTCAAAGCTGTGCTCCCGCCACAGCGTTTGCGACATTTCAGAATCGGCGCCGTGCTCCCGTCGTTCAGAAGGGCGCTCCCGCCCCTGCGCGGACCACATTCCTGGATGCGACTCCTTCCTCGTCGTTGCCGCCCCCATCCTTTCCCCTCCTCCGCATTCCACTGGCTCTCCTGCTCTTCCCGTTCCTCCTCCTGCTCCTGCTGCTACTGCTGCTGCTGCTCGTCCTCCCCATTCCTCATCCTCCTCTTCCTCCTGCTCATCCTCCGGCTCCTTCATCGCCTCCTCTTCCTCCTCCAATTTGCACAGCTCTCCCTATTTATTGAGCATCGCACAGTGGGGCTATTTGGGGAATGTAGGTCCGCTAGAATACCAGTCGGCGGACAAATAACGAACCAGCGCAATGTGAAGGATGGGCGGGATGGGTGGGACATCAGATGTGGCGCGGGCGCACCTAGCTTGTCCCTCCCCCACTTCCCTCCTCCTCCCTGTCCCACTCCACCGACCAAGTTTCCAGGCGCACAGGATCCATCAGCAGGGCCCTCGAGCCCAGGGCCCAGGGCAGCCCCCTCCTGAGCGCGGATGCACACAGCGATCCTCCCCAATGAGGCTTACCCCAACGTGCTGCAGCTCGCGCTCCCTGAGAAGGCAAAAGGAGGACTGCAGAGTGGCGTTCCTGGACTGCTGCCTCTCCTCCTTCCACACCTGGAAGGGGAGGAGGCGGGGCGGAAGAAAGGAGGGAGGTATAAGGGTGGGCCGGGAGTTCCGTCCCCCATCCCGCCAGCAAGCCGGCCAGGCACGGGGGGACACGGCTGATGGGGGAGGGGAGGATGTGGGGGAGCAGGCACGGGGGGAGGAGGCGAGAGGAGTAGGCACGGGGGGAGCCCCTCCCAGCACCATTCCCCCCCCCCCCTCCATCTCGCCAGCGCGCCGGCCACGGCCGCGGCCTCGCCCGCGCGGGCTGGCGTCGCCCCAGCAGACCACCGCCGGGCCCAGAGCTCCATGCGGCAGACCAGGTGCCCGGCCGCGCGGCGGCTGTGCCTCCCCGCACGCCCTGCGCCAAGACTCCACGGGGCCCCTCCCAAGCCTCCCAAGCCGCCTGAACCTCCCCCTCCCGCTCCCGCTCCTTTAGCTCCGGCTCGGTCGCCCGTTCCTCCGGCTCCTGCCCTCCGGTCCAGCTCCGAGAGCTGCTGCGGATCAGCTTGCTCCTGCAAATGCTGATCCTCCTCGTTTTCTCCCTCTCTCTCGGAAAGCAGGAGGAGAAGAAGCAGCAGGAGCGGGAGGATATCAAGGGAGGGCGGCAGGGAAGCAAAGAAACCAGCACACGATTAGGAGGAAGCAAGCGGACGAGGAAGAGGAGGAGGAGGAGGAGGAGGAGGAGGAGGAGCACGATAAGGATCAAAAGGAGGGGGATGGGGGAACATGATGACGGGAGCAGCGCCGGGATAATGACGAGGAAATGACGGCGGTGATGAAGTACCTGTCTGGGGTTTTGAACGAGGTACAAAGACTTTCCGCCCGATGTGGACTACGGTTTGTTTTGCGGAAGCGTGGGCACGAAGATGCCGTCGTTGTCAATTATGCGTGTTGCTCCCCACATGTTTCGTGGGGTTCTGGTTTTCTTCCCTGCCGCGTTGCACCCGCGACGGTCACTCGCCTCCCTCTTCTTCCTCCTCCTCCTCCTTCTAACACGGCGCAGCACAGCACGGCACAGCACAGCACAGCACTGCTCAGCTCAGTTCAGCAGCGGAGCTCAGCACAACTCACAGCACATTGACACACAGCACGTACACAGCACAGCACAGCACTGCTCAGCACAGCTCAGCTCAACACAACACATTTCAGCACAGCTGCGGGACGGGAAAATGACCACAGCCACTGCTTCTTGTTTGCGCCGCCTTCCAGCCGGCCGAAAAAGAAGCAGTGGTTGTGGTCATTTCCCTGGTGCCAAGCTCAACGAAAATGACCTCAACCACTGCTTTGTTGCTGCGGGCTGGAAGGCGGCATCAAAAGAAAAGCAGTGGCTGTGGTCGTTTTGACGCCCCGTAACAGCACTGCACTGCACTGCACTGCGCAGCACCTCAGCACAGCACAGCACAGCACAACACTGCACAGCACTGCACAGCACTGCACAGCACCTTTGGACACCATAAGGGGTGCGCAACAAGTGGTCTCTGACCGCGGCCGCTATCCACGACACTGCCGCAAAACCTAGCAAGCGTGGCACTTTCTGGACACCATAAGAGGGTGCGCAGGGGGTGGTCTCTCAGCGCGGCCGCTATCCACGACACTGTCGCAAAGCCTAGCAGGCGTGGCACTTTCTGGACACCATAGGAGGTGTGCAGGGGGGGTCTCTCAGCGCGGCCGCTATCCACGACACTGCCGCAAAGCCTAGCAGGCGTGGCACCTTCTGGGCACCAAAAGGGGTGCGCAAGGGGTGGTCTCTCAGCGCGGCCGCCCGCTATCCACGACACTTTCGCAAAGCCTAGCAGGCGTGGCATTTTCTGGACACCATAAGGCGGTGCGCAGAGGGTGGTCTCTCAGCGCGGCCGCTATCCACGACACTGTCGCAAAGCCCAGCAGGCGTGGCACTTTCCGGGCACCAAAGGGGTGCGCAGGGGGTGGTCTCTCAGCGCGGCCGCTATCCACTACATGTTCGCAAAGCCTAGCAGGCGTGGCACCTTCTGGCAGGGGGTGCGCTGGGGGTGCGGTCGATATCCGCTTCGGGCTCGCAACGCGTGGCAGGCGTGACATTTTCTTCTCGATGCCGCAAGGGGTGCGCGGGGGGTGCGGTCGCTATCCGTTTCGGCCTCGCAAAACGTGGCAGGCGCGGCGCTTCCTCGACACCACAGGGGGTGCGCTGGGGGTGCGGTCGACATCCGCTTCGGGCTCACAACGTGTGGCAGGCGTGGCACTTTCTCGATGACACAGGGTGTGCGTTGGGGGTGCGGTCGCCATCCGTTTCGGCCTCGCAAAGCGTGGCAGGCGTGGCACTTTCTCGGCGCCACAAGGGGTGCGCTGGGGGTGCGGTCGCTATCTGTGTCGGGCTCGCAGCGTGTGGCAAGCACGGCGCTTTCTCGATGGCACAAGGGGTGTGTTGGGGGTGCGGTCGCTATCCGTTTCGGCCTCGCAAAGCGTGGCAGGCGTGGCGCTTTCTCGACGCCACGAGGGGTGCGCTGGGGGTGCGGTCGCTATCCGTTTCGGGCCCCCAAAGCGCGGCAGGCGTGATACTTCCTCGACGCCACAGGGGGTGCGCTGGCGTGGCAGGCGCTGCGCTTCCTCGACGCCACAAGGGGGGGCCTTGGGGGTGCAGTCGCTATCCGTTTCGGGCTCGCAAAGTGCGGCGGGCGCGGCACTTCTCCTGTCCACGTTCCTCCCTCCTCTCCTCTTGACTGGCGTCGCCAACGGTATCGGCGGGGCAACGGCCGCGAACATCATTCTCACATGCTTCACTTCAGCTATCATCACCCCAGCCATAATATAAACATGTTGGGTTCCTCGGTATCGTAATTTGGCGCTTGCGCTCCTGAAGCGCCAGCCTTAGATACTACACCTCTTGACATGAGCGGTTGCTGTGTATCGGGCCTCTCATGCTTGTTAAACTTACTACGAAGCAATATGTAGGGTCCCCGGCGCATCGAGCCTAAGACCAAGTCCCTACGTTTTAGCCACCCGAGCAGAAAATTATCACAAAAAAACACACAAGCAGGGGTAGTCGGGCGCCGCGCCCCCCTCCCCCGCCCCCCCCCGCACGTCAGGCCCAACCCGCCCCACCCCGGCGAACCCCTGACGCGCACCCGAGCACGGTGGCGGAATCGCGATGCAGCGCAACTGGACAATACAACTCTTGACATGACGAAAAGGTCAGCATCCGCAATCTGCAAGCAGCGCCATCGTTTAGCATGCTACGCAATCCCCTCCGAGGCAGGCGATCTTCTTTTGCGGGCGGGGTGCGATGCGCTCGGGGGGGCTCCTCTGCGCTTGAGTCGCCAGTAAAAAGATTCGGCCTCTGACGGACAGCTCGGTGGAACAACGCAGTGAAGAGAAACCCCATGACGCAAAGTTTACCGCCAGATGCCCGTTGCGTAGCCCACCCAAAATATACCTTAGACTTACGAAGTTTGCAAATTGCCACTAGCGAAAGCTGGTGTGAGGACGCAGATCCTCGGTTGATTAACTTCAGCGCCCCGTGCCGACAAGTGACGAGCAGCTGGAAGCGGGACTGGCAACGCTGTGACCCAAGGGTAATCCCAAGCTGGGAAAGTGTGCCCGATCCCACCAACTTGAGGACGGAAACTGGGGACCGCCTTGCGTCGACGCATAGTTCTGCTCCATATTGAAATCTTATGTCTAATTGCATATATTTTCACACGCACCTCTCCGAGGGAATAGAGCTCGGAAGCTATTAACTGAAACCGCCCCGTCCCGTCCGCTATTTTTGCTGGCCGCCTCGCTCCGGAAATCCTCAACAGTCTGAAAATCAGGCGCGCCCCTCGCGCAGATCACGACGTCGCGGACCAAAGCGCACGACATAAAACCTTCTACCACACAATGGTTTTCAATGTTTTCTGCGTCGCTCCTACAAGAAAACAGTTTCGCGTGAGACATCCCCCGCAATTGAACCCAGACGTCTTCAAAATTGTCATCGCACCCCGGCAAGCCTTTAAGAACCCCCCGGGTTTATCGTTAGCACCGCACAAAGATTGAACATTTTCAGGGGGTCGTTTTCGCCGAGCGATATCTTTTGCATCTCGCACAAATAAAAAAACACATTCCGTGGCGCGTCGCGCGCCGCGCAAGAAGAAATCCTTTGGATATGCTGTGCATGTCCTAGAACATTTCACGGACCAGCAAAGGATTGCCTCAGGAATCTCAAGGATCCGAGACTCTTAGGAGATAGCAGGGCTTGGCAGCGCTCAGCGGCGCTCAGCAGGGGCTAGCAAGGCTTGGCATGGGCTTAGCAGGGCTCAGCAGGGAGCGAGCCTGGCTTATCATTGCTTAGCAGGGCTTAGCGGGAGCTAGCAGGGATCAGCAAGGTTCAGCTTGGCCCCGAGCGCTCTCTGCGGGCTCCTCCGGTGCCGAGGTAACGCTTCCAGGGTGCCGGATGCGTTATACTTTCACCGGATGAGGGGCGGGTGTGTGTGTGGGGGTTCTTAAAGGCTTGATGCGGTTATTCTCTAAGACGACGTGCTCGCTCGAGGCATCCTCCAACGCTTGATTTCGGAGCTTCTGTTCAACTGAAACCGCGAGGTGTGGAATCCCCTCCTGTGCCACGCCGATTACTTGCAAGGTGATAAATTGATGCTTACAACAAATCTGCTCGTGCGTCTAAGCTTCCATAGCTGTAACCATCGTACCGCGTTTTGATATCTTTTCGCTGCTCGTCGGCTGGAATATATTATAATCGACCTCGAGAGCGTCATCGATGATCTGGCGAGCCTTGACGAAACCCTGTGGGAGCTGCGGAGGCGATGGCGGGCAACTTCGGCGATCGGGCTGGCAATCATATAGCTGTTCAATGTGTTGTCGGAATTGGAAAGCGCGATCGGACGTGTACCCCAGGCCGTTTTTAAGACCTCATCTGGATCGACGATGACATACATCGGCAGGAGGGCGATCTTCACCGCGATGAAATCGGCGGGCAGGGGGTTGCCCCTTAGCGAATGGAGGTTGACATTGAAAAACGTTCTTGTGCTATAGGCCCAGCTGCCCTCCGGGCGCCGCGGCGCAAGCCGTAGGGCCCCGGGGCGGGATATTATCACCTGGGGGGGAAGAAGGTAAAGAAACTTGTCGAACGTGAAGACACGCGGGAACCTCTGGCGAGTCCTATTGGCGAACTGGTGGAGGTCTTGGGGGAGTGGAGTGATAGTCCCGTCGGGACTATCACTCCGAACCGAGAATTTCATCTCCGCGAGAGAATACACCACCCCAACGTTCGCCAAACATGCGGGCGCAGATGTTCGGGTCGGCAAACTGGGCCCCGTCGGCCCCGACGATGCCTCGCAGAGCGACAATGCGCTGGCTGGCCTTTCAGGCGCGGCCCTCACGCCGACTGCTATTGAGCTGGTAGCGCCCTCTAGGATGGAGGTGCCGTCCCGAATGGCATCTTCGCGTTCCTGGAGCTCGTCTCTCATCGGGCCCCAGAGGAAATATGGCAAGTCATGCCAATGAGTTCGAACCAGAAGCTCGCGGCCGTAGTGCTCTTTAAAATTTGGGAGCGATCCGGCAGCTATTCCGACGCCTCTGACAGTAAAATTTGGGAGCGATCCGGCAACTATTCCGACGCCTCTGACAGCGCGACCTCGACGCGAACGGGCGAGCTTCGAACGGCGTGCAATATTTTCCTGTCTGGGGTCTGCTCAGGCCTGGAACATTTCGAGCTTGCGCCGCTGCCCTGCTGCGGCCATGATAGATTTAGCATCCAGCGGCCGCGCCGGCGGGTCACTGGACGGGCCCTGACCGTTGAGAAGCCCCGCGAAGATGCCAGCGCACGAGGGGCGAACAAGAACAAAAAACTGGGGGGGGGAAGACATCGCCGTTCGGCGCCCAAGGCTTGAGAGCGAGGAGGAAGGCGGGGGCGTGGTCGGAGGAGAGAGAGGTCGGACATGCCCCGCGCGGCAGGGCTAATGGGGTCTGGTCGAGGAGGTCGGCGGCGGGGAGATTGGAGTAGATGCGGTCGGGCCCAGCGAAAGAGACGGACTGAGAGGGCGAGTTGATGGCGCGGCGGCGGGCGAGGGCGCCTGCGAGCCTAGACGGAGAGAAGCGTTCGGCCCCAGCGGTGGCTCTAAGCCTGCAATCTCTGATATCCAAACAGTTGAAGTCCCCCGGGGCGAAAGAAGAGGCGAGGCGAGCGGGGGAAGCGGGGATGGGGGCGTCGAGCGCACCGAATGTGACTTCGAATGACTGGCTCAGGGAGGTCGGGATCAGCGCGCACATCGACGATTGGAAGGTTCCTGCGGGGCCCGCGGAGACGGGGAAGCGCGATCCGCCCAGGCGCCAGCTCCCCGCACTCGAACTCAGCAAATTCTCGCTGCAACTGTTGAGAGAGAAAGGCGAGGACACCTTCGCCGTTCGCTGCGCCGGCAAAAGAACCGAAGACCGCGCGTCGCTTAAAGTCACAGCGGAGGAGGACAGGAGAAGGTCGCCGTCTCTTCCATGGATTTCCTGCCAGCAAAGCACTGCGGTACGCTTTAGTCGCGAATGTAAATGATGGAATGCATGTCGTATTCTGGTCTGGCTGGAACACTTAGAGCCAGCGAGGGCCTGGGAGTTCCACGTCGGCATCCTGCAGAGAGACTTCGGGCATAATATTAGGGATCGCAGGGGGGGGGCTGGAAACTCGACGCCCCCCCCCCCCCGAATCATCTGCAGACACAAGAAGAATAGGCGGGAGGGCGAGTTGGGGCCTGGACCAAAACGGCCCCCCCGAGATCCGCGAAAGCTGCGGCAAGAAGATTTGAGAGCGGCGGCAGCAAGCCAGCGACATTTGCAGGCGAGACCAAGCAGGGCCCCCGTAGCGCGAGCGCAGGCCTACGCGAGAACCTTTTCAGAGATCGTCGAGGACGGTCTGAATCTTGGCGGAGTGGCGTCCTTAGACGTCGAGGGCGGGGGGGGGGGCCGAAGGCGAAGAAGTCGCCTGTGCCCTGCTTGGCAGAGATGAGCTCGCAGAAGTCGGAGTCGGCGACAGCTCGCAGCACGCCTTCGTGGCCATTGGTCCCAGAGCTGGCTGCGCATGGCGAGCGGCTCGACCGAGGCGTAGATGGAGGCGGCCGCGCGCTTCTTCCGCCGCGCGCGGAGAGGAGGGCCCCGCGGACGCGGAGAAGGTGGGTGGACTGGTCGCGGAAGTCCTGCCACGCGAGACCGAGGATGTTGGCCTCGCGCTGAACTGAAAGGCGTCGGCGGTGTCAACACACTTGTACTTGAGCTTGTAGCTTGTAGACCTCGATCCCCGCGGCGATGAACTTCGACGCCCTCGTCGCCGAGTTCGTCAGGGAACTTCTCCTGCATCAGAGTGAGCTTGGCGCGTTTTGAGAAGCAGTGGGCGAGGGAACGCACCGACGCACTTGGTCCTGGGGTCGCCCTACTCGCGGTCGAGGATGAGGCCGATCGGGCCTTCGACCAGACGAACTTCGCGACCAGCATAGGACACGGGGCGGACATCTGCAGCTGAACTTGCCGGAGAAGCCGGACTTGCAGTAGCACTGGCGTGCCCTTCGACTTTGCTACGACGAGCAGCTGAATGCTGGACCTCAAGGCGAAGGGTAGCGAGTTCGGCGCCCTGAGCCGTCATCTGAACTTGTAGCCACGTTACGGCTGCTTGGGCCGCACTTCGAATACTGGCGGCGATGTCAGCGGACTGTTTTTCCATGAGGGACGCCATTGTGGTCTGGATCTCGTCCGCACTCGCCGTGGCGGCCTGCTGGGTCGCCGAGCCAAACAGGAGGGAGTGCTAGAAACGATGGTGTCGCCTGTCGACCGCGCGGCGATGCCTCGAGCCCCCCAAGGAGCGACAAAGTTCAAAGCGCCAGTGTCGCACGTTTTGAACTTGCACTAAAATCGCTACAAAGATGGAGGAGGAGTTTTGACCTGACATGGGACCAGCAGCCAGCGCGATGACCAGTCGGTGAAAACCCTCAGGAAACCTCCGCTAGCAGGTTGCCGAGGAAGCCCAGGCGATGTCGCTGGAGGATGCCGCGGCGAAGCCGCCACGCGGCACCTTCGCGGAATGCCACGCCGGATTGCGGTGACGCATGGAGCTGCCAGAAATGCGCCGACCGCTGGCAACGCACTGCAAGGCCGGCCTGGATGCGAGCTCGCGGTCCCGCCAGGAACCTGGCACGCCACCACCACCACCACCACCACCAGCCCAGCCCACAGCGGCCTCAGCAGCAGCCTGGCGACGTCGCCACGCGGCACGGCCTGCAGCAGTCGGGCCCGCGGAATCGATGTCCGCCTGACGCTGGGAATCATGCCGCCGGGCCATCGGGTGGCCTCCGCCGCCATGTTGAGCCAGCTTGAACCACAATGGCTACGGAGGACGGGGAGGACGAGGAGGGGGGGACGAGGTTTGAGGAAGAAGGTGAACACAAACAATGAGGGACAGGATGGGGTTGGAGGAAGCGCGTGACAAGGTGTCGGCCCGCGCCCGGCCGCCCGACCGCCCCGGCCCCCCGCTCCGTCCTTCGGGCACACGCGCCGAGCGCGGCCACCAAGGACACCCCGTCGGGGCGCGTCCTCCGCCGCATGCCCGAGGGGCGCGCCCGCGGCGGAAACGGGGGGGGGGAGGCGGCACGTCCAGAGAAAGGGCTGGAAGGGTGAGGGCCGGGGCGGGGTGGGGGGGGGTCTCGCGGAGGGCCGGAGCGGTGAGGCACACGCAGGGAATGGCGGCGACGGGGAGGGCAGGAGCGTTTTGGGGGGGGGCAAGAGCGCGGAGGGAAGCGGGGAAGTGCGCCACAGGGGGGAACTGAGAGGGGGTGGGGCAAACGGGCCAACTGGGGAGGGAGCGCGAGAAGGCAGGGGGAAGAAGGGGTAGGGGCAACGAGGAGGTGTGGGGGGAGGAGGAACATGGGGGAGCGGAGAGGCGAGGTGCGCCAAACTAGGTGCGCCGAATCGTTCAGCCTTCCCTTTCCGCCCATTCCTTCCCACGTCGTGGAATCCATGTCGATCCGCCGAGGGTGTCCTTTGTAGACCTTGATGCCCAAGTGGCAGTTGCGAGATTTGACCTATCAGTTGTAGCGTTATCAAGAAGGGGCCTTTGCACATGGAAGGGAGATGATGAGCAAGAGACGGAGGAGGATCAAGAAGGCGAGAGGAGAACGCTCACTACCATTCCTCCGCCTGCTGGCGTTCCCGCGCTAGTCGCGCGACGGGTCGGCTCAGTCCGACCACCCAAAGCGGGTCGCCGACGCTCCGTGTGGGTGGGAGGGCGCGGAGGGCGGGCGCAGACTTGCCCGTGCAGGTCTCGTACGTTGAACCTCTGACCCCCCAGTGGAAAGAAAAAAAAAACTCAGGGGCCCAGGGGCTTGTGTCCGGCTCGAACGAGATGTGAAGACCAGACTGTGGGCGGGCGGGGCGAATTGTCGCATCTACTTTGGGCCCACGCCCTGCCTGTGATCGCGGGACCGTGCCCGTTTGCGGGTGCCCCAGGACCTGTGACGACACTTCGGGGGCCTGGCCCGTGCCCGATCCCCGGAAAAGGAAAGGGTCGGTAACAACAAGATGGCACGCTACACCCGTTCCCCCCTGCTTCGTTACCGTGCTACGCTTGATTGCCATGCTACGTTCTCCCGCGCGCGCATCGCGCGCGCGATGTCCGGGGAGGAGGCGGAAGGTTAGATGGAGATGGAGGAGGAGGAGGAGGAGGACGCTGCGGAACAGCAGACTAGAGAAACAAGGTAGAAATGAAGGATCAGAGAACGTGAGCTCTGTTTCACGAGAGCAATGTATGCGGTACGCGGTGCTGTTAGGCGCACGCGGGCATTGTCCTGGCCAGCCTCAGGGCCCAAAAGGCAACGGGAGAGAGGCGGGTGGAACAGGGCAGGGGCAGTGAAAGGCAGGGATGGCTTGACATGGGCCTGTTCGAGTCTGGTGCTCAAACACGTCCGTTGTTCCCTCGGTAGAAGCAATTACACTTCCACCGAGAAACCAAACCCGCCCTGCTAGCCTGCCTCGGGTCTGGCCTGCAGCTCCAGGAAGCCCACGTCGAAGGTCTGCGGGCCGAGGAGCTGCGCCGGGTGGAGCACCGTGCAGTCGTAGGTGCTCAACTCCCGGCGTGCCTGCCAAAAGGACCCCCCTGGAACAACATCCATGGAACGTTGTCTCCCCTGGCCGTCTGTGGAGAGCCGGCAAAAGGCACGGCCCTCCTCGCTGGGAGGCCAGGGGCATGTTGTCTTACTCCTGGGCTTGTCTGCTGAGGCTGGCTGCGCGGTGTCGTAGTCGCAGTCTGCCCACCATTCAGGTTGTGCAGCTCCCTCAGTCTCTGTGCCTGCACTGGGCTTGTTGTTCAGCCTCGGGTGCTGGCTGCTCGGCGCGCTTTTCTTCCTCTTCTCGTCGCTGAAGCGCACCGTCGGATGAGTGCAACTGGCATGGCCAGTCATGGCTCCCAAGAGGAGGCCCCGACCGATGCTTCCCTTAGTCATCGGGTCGGCCCTCATGTCTCTGGTGTCGCACCAAAGCATGTCTTCGAGCTGCTTGGTGCGAAGCTGGTCGCTCAGCCACCGGAGATGGCCGGCCATCGAGTTCTCAGATGGCGGCCGGACGGGGTCGGACAGCAGGGCCGTGAAGACCGACATGCCGTCTACGACCAGCTCGGCCGGGATGGCGTAGCCTCCGTCCCCCCGCAGCCGTCGGATCTCCTCCGCGGTGGCCGGGCCGTGTACCATCTCGCGCAGGGTGAGGAGGCACTGCTGCACCCCGTCAGCTGCGCCGCAGGCCGCGAGCAGCTCTGAGCCGAAGGAGGACCTGCACACAAGCTTGTGTGATCTGCTGATGGCATCCAGCAGGTGGCAGACCTCCGCGCCCGTCTTCGGGCACGTGCCCATGCGCATGCACACGGCGCCGCGCATGCCGCGCCCCGTCTCCTCTTCCCTCTTGAAGGAGCCGTCGCTGTGCACGACCAGTCGCTTGCTGCACTTCATCGCTGGGAAGACGATGCGCGCCTTCAGCTTCTGCATAGCCAGAACGACTGAGTTGAGCTGCATCGCGTGTCTGATGAGCAGCTTGTTCTTGGATCTCTGCAGCGCGACTAAGTACACAGCCAGATGGCGTTGTGTAAGTAGCGCGTAGGCTACTGCTCCCAAGAGAGATACGAACAGGTCCGGGAGCGGACCAGGTGGCCGGCTGATCCACCTTGGCCTTGACCCGTTCGACGTGCCTGATAGGGATCAGCGCGTCGATGTACTCGTCCTGGTCCAGGGTGACCGCGCCGTCCATGGCGCGGCTCTGGTGGACGCCGCAGTTGGCGAAGTCCCCCCAGTCACCCTTCATCTTGCCAAAGACGCTCTCGATATGAGATCAGTTGGTCCACGTGCTTCGTCTGCCCAGCCATCCTCAGGTCGTCCACGTGCTTGGATAGTATAGGAGACGCCGTGAGCATGGCTCGTAGGTGCCTCGTGCTGACGCCTCGAGCTCCGGGTCCCTGCGCGTCGGCTTGGCGCTGCACTCTGGAGAGCGCGTGACCCGGGCGAGCTTCGTGGAAAACGCCCGCGGAGCATCCTTGCAGCCTGTGCCCGGCTCGATGCAATGGAGGCACTCCGTCGTCTCGTCGAAGTCCTCGTAGCCGGGCACCTTCCGCAGCATCGCGGCGCTGCCGGGAGGTAGCGTGAAGTTGGCCACCCTAAGTGCCTCACCCTGTTCCTGCATCTCCTCGTAAGCCATCCCTTGCAGGAAGGCCTTCTCCACGTTCACGGCGACATAGACCCAGTCTGGTCTGCAAGCCGCCTCCGAAGACAGGATGCCCTGAGACGAACGCTTCGCTGCCCCAGCGAACGTCTCCAGCGCCCCCGCGTCCACGTCTCTGAAGCCCCGCAGTGCCATCTAGCATCTGATAATGCAGACCATCTTGCCCTCCGAAGTCTTGCGGTGCTTCCACTTGAAGACGTGGCGGGAGTCAATGACGCTCCGAGCTCCTCGGACGGGTCGTCGCTCGAAACACTTGTGCTTGACCCAGATGGTGAGCTCCTCCAAGATGGCTGCGGCAACCTCTTGAGACAGCCTAGGCACCTCCTCCTTAGTGAGCAAGTCGGTGTCGCGCTTGATTACCGCGGTCTTGACGGCGGCGTGGACGTTCGGCGCAGCTGTCCACGATGATTCGACATGGTCGCTCATCTCGGTCTGAGTGCTCAGGAATGCTTCGCGCACCCTGGGGTCAAGGTACAGCTCCACGCGTGGACCTTGATCATCTTCCTCCTGCAGCGTGGCATACTCGGCCGCCGAGGCCCCGCGAAGGTAGTAGTGGCACCTCTCGTGGATCACCTGGCGCTGACGCTGCGTCTCCAGGTGTGATGGCCACTCGGAGGGCCGACGGCCCATGCCGGCCGCAGCGTGCTCGATGGCTGCGTGGACCTGCTGCTGGTGTTCTCGCAGCCGTCCTTCATGAGCTCGCTGGTGAGGTCGCCGGCATCCTCGACCTCATGCCACGTGGCTAGCATCGCCTTCTGGATGTAGCCGGACAAGTCGCTCATGTCGCCCTCGGGCATGACTGAAAGCGCTGAGGGTGATCCCCCTTCCGTAGTCGACGCAGCATCTTCGTGAGATCCGATAACATGGTGTCCGATCTCGCCTTCAGGCTCTAAACCGACGCCTGCTGCCATAAGTGGCTCATCGCCCAGAATGAACTGCAGGATGCGGGCGTTCTTCCAGGCGTCACCGACCAAGGACTACGAGTCGAAGTGCGCGCTGTTGAGGGGCATCTGATGCATGTCGCATGGGGTCCTTGGGAAACCACCGAATGTTCAGACTGCAGGAGCAGCCCGGCCAGGCGCCAACCTGTTTCTGGCCTCGGATCAGACGTATGGCACGAACGTCTGACAGCTGAAAGCACCTGTGGGCCAAGTGGCGTAGGGCTTGGAAGACCTCGGGCTTCTGTCGAGCCTGCTCGGTGAGGCTGACGTTGCCGCTGTCCTCCCAGTGGCCGAAGGTGCGAGCTCCTGATCCTGGATGTGCTCGATGAAGTCCTCGACCAAGTCCCACGCTAGGCCGGCGCGTGTCATCCAGGCGCCGCGGTCGTCGTAGACCGCGCCGATGGAATGACGGACGTCCTGCAATCTGCAAATCATCTCGGCGCGGCGGTACTTGACAGTGACCTTCTCGCGCGCCAGATCCACTGCAGTGATCGTCCCTGGGCCCGCCCAGCCTGAAACATCCTTGGTGTCGGGCGGCCGATGGATCTCCACGACGTCACCGACGTTGAACTGGCCCTCGCCGGACGGCACGGCGCGCGGCCGGAGGGCGCGGCTGACGCGTGCTATCGAGGTCGCCTCGATCATGCGCTGCAGTGCGATCTCGCAAATGCGCCACTGCAGTCGGCTGGGCTGAGTCTCACCACCAGGAGAAGCAGGATTGGACTCCTCGGCATGGCCAGATTCGTCCGAACCCTCTGCGTCGACCTCTAGCGGCGGCAGCATGCTGGGCTGCCGTCCGAAAACCACGTTGCAAGGCGCGACGCCACCTACATGCGTGAGGCTGTTGCCGGCGAAGATGGCGTTCGCTGGCATGGAGTCGAAGTTCGCCGCAAG